CTGCCTGCAAACAGTGCTGGCAAGGCCAGGCTGACGGGGCTCCGAGCACCCTGGGCTGGTGGCAGGGGTCCCTGCCTGTGGCAGAGGGGTGGGAACAGCATCAGCTGTAAGGTCCCTCCCAACCCAAACCCTGCCATGATTCTGTGGCCTCTGCCCACGGCCGGGGGAAGCTGGGGAGCACGGTGCCTTGCGGGGGTCAGCAGGATGGGGCTGGCGGGGGGCACAGACAAGGGCTGCAGGCTGCTGAGTGGGAGAGGAGCTGGGGCAGGAGCAGCCCTAACAATATTGATGTAAGTAGCGTAGGATGGCATCGGGAAGGACTATCATAACGCAGAAAAACACATGGGCTAGGTGAAGATTGCATGGGCAGGCAGCATCCTTCTCCAGCAGCAGAAACCTCTGCAGCTGTAACTGCCCTGATGGGCTCTGAACGTGTATGCACCCGTGGAGAGTCAGTGCCTGGAACTAGTCTGCATCTCGAGAGGGATTAAAGGTCTGCAAAAACCTGATGAAAAACGAAGCACCAAAAAAGGACATGGTGTTGACACCTGTCTGTGTTAAACCTTGACAGAAAATGCAGGCTGCGAGGTCCCGAGGGGTCAGAAGGTTGCAGGAGACTGGCACTTTGCAGTGCTTCTGGGGACTGAAGGCATCGGGGTTCTGCGGAGGTGGGCGGCCACCCTGCAGTTTGGTCTCTGGCTGCGCAGGGTCAGCTCTGCCGAGACGGGGCGAAGCTCCTGTGATGCTGCCATTGCTTCTGCTGGGTGTGTGTCCTGGCCGTGGGACTGCCCTTGTTTTCCTTCCGTCCACTTTTACGGGGAACAGTTGTCTTTTGGACAGGAGTCTGCGAGTTTCTGTAAAAACAGCCAGGCTGAGATAAATTCAGCGTCCATGGAGTCACTTCTCCCTGCTGCTTCTCGCAGTACTTTGTTTTTGTCTCCCTTTTTTCCCTCCTGCATTCTTCACATTCGAAGAGCCACGTTTGATAAATCCACGGCACAAACACTAAAAGAGGTTTATTTTCAATGTTACTGTCTCCTGTTGGGAGGTTAGTAGGAGCGTCCCTGTGCAGCAGTGAGCACCCATCGGTGCAAGCGACTGACTTCTGTTTTCAGCGAGCAGCAGACAGCACAGCACAACCTCATCCTCCTTGGGGCCTTTCCCTGCCATGGTTTCCTGCTCACTGTGGAAACCACCACTAAAACCCATCACCAGAGGCGTGGAAACATGCCGTGTTCCCAAAATACGCTGGAGCAGAAAGACCAAGGAGGTCCAAGCTGCAGTAAAGCAAGTTTAGCGTCAGGCCATGGCAATGCACCTCCGTGTCTCGCTGCGTGAAACTTCTGACTTGCACAGATTCATCTAGAATATATAAGCTGAGGGAAAATGGCCTTTTAATGAGACCTCAGGCACCTGTGCGTGAGACTGAGGTGGCTGTCCAGTGTGTGGTCACTGTTTGATGTGCCATCTCCCCCATGCCGTTACAAACGTGCCATCTTTGCGCACTTTAAGGTGAAAACCTTCACCCCAAGCATCCCTGAGTAAACTTGTAGTAAGTCTGCATGGGCAGTGTCCAAATAGCATTTTGGGAGGTTTGAGGCTTCGCAGGACATCAGGCATGGCTGAAGAATCAACGTCTGAAGGACAAAACTCGGTACTCTGGTCTCGGGTGATCTTTGAGGATAAAGCCTTTCCAACTCCGGTGTCCTGTTCTTTTCCAGATGTCGGTGAGCCAGCCGCCGTCGGGAAGAGGTGTGCCTTGTTTGCGCTGCAGAGGGACGTGCGCGGGCTTTGAGCCGCATTCCTGGAGGTAACATCTTGGCAAGCCCTGCCCTGACACCATCCCTTTGGTCCTGTCGATATTTGGACCCCGGTGACTCCGTGCAAAGAACAGCAGAGCACTGGAGGAGTGGTGGGAGGTGCGGAGAGGACGTGCTCCCTGGAGAGGGCCACTGCTGAGCTGAGAAGATGCTTGTGCTCCCTGGTCTCCGTTCCCCCGCCCTTGCTGGTCCTGCTCTTCTATTTTGAGTTAAAATCTCACCCAGGTGCTTAAACCGAGCTGCGGCTCTCGTGCAGTGGGGTTTTTTCCCCTAACCCTGCTTGCTCCCTGGGAATTGAGGCTTTCTCTGCGAGGTTGGGCGCAGGTCTCAGCAGCGAGCTGTGCCTTGGGAAGAGCCGAAAGCCAGAGGGAGAGATGGCCCAGCCTGCAGGAAGGTCTCACCTGCCATGGTGCCGTCCCCAGCACAGCCCGGCGTGGTTGGTGGCGTTCAGTGGGACGCCAGGATGGGGACACGGTGCCAGAGCTGCTGTGCGTGGCGCGAGCCCCCGCCGGAGCACAGCCCCTCTGCCCGTCGCACGGCGTGGAAATGGGCTGGCGAAAACAAACGTGGCCTTGCTGTGGGGGCAGGGAAATGCTGACCGAAAGGATAATCCAGTGCTGTCGGCGGGAGCTGTGCCGAGCGCCTGGCTGTCGCCCCGTCCTTGCGGGCCAGCGTGGGTGCAGAATCTGGCGAGGGCTGGGTCCTGCCGCCGTCTCCGCAGCCCGGCGTGGCTGTTGCTGCCGGCTGCCCTGAGCATACTGCCAGGAACATCTTGGTGTTCGATGCTTTGTTTTCAGTTTTTCCTCTTGAAAACACTGCTTTAGGTAAGCAGCCACCGACATCGGTAGCTGGTGGGAGCAGACGGGTACTGCTCTGGGGGAGGGGGGCTGTGAGCTGCTGCCCTGCTCTGTCTGCTCACAGACCAAAACAGGAGCAACAAAGGGGGCTTTGAAATGGAAGGGGGCTACGCAGATGTCATTAATTAAAAAAGAATTAACGCCCTCCGAGGGTGTCTCGCCGACTGCTGCGCTGGGGGTCGGAGGCCCCCCGTTTGCGGGGTCCCGGGCAGCGGTGTGCAGGAGCCTGCAGGCTGCCCGTGCTCTCGGCGCTGCCGGAGCCGTCACGAGGGCAGCACGCAGTCGTGTCCTGCGGCCTCCCGTTCCCAGTCTCGATACCTCAGCTGTGTGGAAATCCAGACTTTAAAATGCTCGTTGGGTTGAATTGCTGCTCTTTTAATTGACTCGGTTGAAGGCTGCTTTGAATCACGCTTGTTCCAGGATCCTGCTGGGGCTTGCATCAGAGTCGGTTTTTCGTCTCTGCTATTAGCATTTGGTGGGAAATGGCCAGCAGAGAGTGGCCTTATGGAATTATCTTTATGATTTATAGCCATTAATAATTAAAACGATAGACACTTAAGTATCATTTCCTCCTTTAGCAGTCACTTTTCTAATGGCACGTGAGGCTCTAAGAGGCAAGGCTAGCGCTTGGCTGCGGGGGCCTGGTGAGGGTGGGAGGCTTAGTGCTGCTTGGAGGGGTTTGCAGAGCTGGTGGGCAGCGGTGGGTGGGAGGCAGCGGTCTGTCAGCGCTGCCGCGGCCGCTGTCGCATGGGGACAGCCCTTGGGGGTTGGTAGCTTTCTGCTCTGTGCCACTGCCGGTCCCTCTGGGAGGAGAAGCTGGACGTGGCCCGGCAGGGTGTGCTGGCAGCTCCGACAGCCAAGCGTGCCGAGGGCTGGAACCCCTCTGCTGGGAGGAAAGGCTGGGAGAGCTGGGGCTGCTCAGCCTGGGGAGGAGAAGGCTGCGGGGAGACCTTGGAGCAGCTGCCAGGGCCTGGAGGGGCTGTGAGAGAGCTGGGGAGGGGCTGGGACAAGGGCAGGGGGTGACAGGACAGGGGGCGATGGCCTTAGACTGAAAGAGGGGAGATTTAGATGAGATATGAGGAAGAAATTCTTCATGCTGAGGGTGGTGAGGCACTGACCCAGGTTTCCCAGTGAGGTGGGAGATGCCCCATCCCTGGAAACATTCAGGGCCAGGTTGGACGGGGCTCTGGGTGACCTGACCCAGTTGAAGATGTCCCTGCTGACAGCAGGGGGGCTGGGCTAGATGGCCTCTAAAGGTCCCTTCCAACCCAAAGCACTCAGTGAATCGTGCCGAGTTCCCACACATGGCTCATAACCCTGGTCTGCATTTAACCTCTGGAAGAGGCTGATGATCGCGTGCCTCCCACAGCCCAGCTCACGTTGACCTTGCTTGTCACCCACAGGAAGATCTGCAAGTCGTGCAAATGCAGCCAGGAGGATCACAGCCTGAGCTCGGACGTGGAGGATGATCGGAAAATTGGGCGCCTGCTGTCAGACTCCAAGTATGCCACGCTCACCGCCCGGGTGAAAGGAGGTGACGGCATTCGCATTTACAAAAGGAACCGCATGATCATCACCAACCCCATCGTCTCTCGGAAAGACCCCACCTTTGACACCATCACGTACGAGTGGGCTCCCCCGGGGCTCACCCAGAAGCTGGTAAGAACCCGCGGCGCGTTTGGCGGGCGGTTGTGTCGCTTAATGGAGGACTTAATTCAGCTCTGGAATAAAGTTGTTAGGGGAAAATAGTGAAACATATGGTTTGCCTCAGAGAGCGAAAATGTGTGCAACACTTCGTATTTTGGAAAACTGCGTAAATAACCAGAGTAGGTAGGAGAGGGGGATGGATTGCCCTTGCGTTTTTATAGGTTTGCTTACATTTCTGGGAGAAGTCTTAATGGGCTTTGCGACTAGAAAGCTTGCTGCTTTGGTAAAGCTCGTGTCCAGTAAAAACATTGCTGAGGAGAGATCCCATCTCTGCTGTCCTGCCAGTTGTACCACGCCTGTGCAGCCCACGCAGGCGTCTGCACGCTCCAAAACCCACAGCTGGAAGCTCCAGGCCTTCTCGGGGTGTCTGGGCTGGGATCTGCTCCTCTCCCTGAACAGCCCTGGGAGGGCACCGAGGAGGGAGAAAGCTGTGCAAACCCTGGGACAGGGACAAGGACAGTGAGTTAACCCCTGAGACCCATCTCCAGGCTTCTAAGGGAACATGGGTCTGGACTGGGCTTCTTGGGAGCAGCAGTGGAGACGAGTTGCTTGGGTGGTTTACTTGGGCAGGAGGAGTTGCCCTGGGCTTTGACCTCCCTGTTGGGGAGGGAGGTCCTGCCTTGCTTGTTGAGTCTGATCTCTTCCAAACGTGGGTGCGAGCCTGTCCCCAGACCAGCCGCGCAGGCGGAGGTAGCTCGCTGGGACACTTCCACTGACCTGGATGGGGTTTTTTCAGCAAACACTTCGGGGAAATTATGCTTCAGTCTGTCTCAAAAGCAGAGAAATTAAATCATAGAATCACAGAATGGTTTGGGCTGGAAGGGACCTTACAGATAATCCTGTTCCCCCCCCCTGCCATGAGCAGGGACGACCTCTTCCACCAGCCCAGGCTGCTCCAAGCCCCGTCCAACCTGGCCTTGAGCCCTGCCAGGGAGGGGGCAGCCACCGCTTCTCTGGGCAGCCTGGGCCAGGGCCTCACCACCCTCAGGGTGAAGAATTTCTCCCTAATATCTCATCTAAATCTGCCCTCTCTCAGTTTAAAGCCATCACGCCTTGTCCTGTCACCCCCTGCCCTTGTCCCAGCCCCTCTCCAGCTCTCTCACAGCCCCTCCAGGCCCTGGCAGCTGCTCCAAGGTCTCCCCGCAGCCTTCTCCTCCCCAGGCTGAGCAGTCCCAGCTCTCCCAGCCTTTCCTCCCAGCAGAGGGGTTCCAGCCCTTGGGTCATTGCTGGGGCCTCCTCTGGCCCCGCTCCCACAGCTCCAGCTCTCTCCTGTGCTGAGGAATCAATGTGGAAAGAAGTAATATTGCCTCTAAATCCAGTGCTGTGTGTGAGTTATTCTGTCACAAAAATGGACTTTCATGATAGTGGTAAAGTAGCTGTCAACTTTCATATAGTAATTATTTTCTTTGCTTTCTGAGGTAGTCATTAAAATCTTGGATTTAAAATAGGCCTGGCATCCCAGGTTTACTAACCAGGAGTGTGAATAGTGCTCACTTGTGCCTCCATAAATCACAGAACGGCCCTAAATCTCCCCAGAGCGCAGCCTTGTTTCCCGCTGACGGCTGCATCGCCTCAGCCCTGGGCGAGTGTCCGCAGGAACACCGCAGCGCAGCCAAAGCAGCGTGCTGGCACTGCTTGCTCTGTGGCTTGACCTCTTCGTCATCCTCTTTAATTTCAGCTCAGGTTTGCTGGGCAGGCAGAGGAGCGGGAAAGGGTTCAGCTCCTCGTGGTGGTGGTGGGCAGCGGGGTGCTGGGTGGGCAGCTGGGCGGCTGTGCCTTGGGGTCCCCATCTCCTGCTGGAACCATCCTTGAGCAATGGCCCCGGGCGACCGAGCGCAGCCGTGGGCTGCTGCTGCCAGAGGAACCCCTCCCAGATCCGGCACTGCGGCTGGGGATTTTTTTCCTTGCAGCTGAGCGTGGTTCTTTCCAAATAAAAATATTTCTTTAGGTTTTGTAAAGAGAACTTGGGGTAAAAAGGAGAGATGGGGAGTGTGGCCCCATGCCCGGGGCTGGATCCAGAAAGAAGCCCCCAGCCCCGGCGTCCCTGCTGTGCCTTGTGTCCCTCCGGACGAGCAGCCTTGCCGTGTGGGAGCGAACGGAGGTGGCTTTTGGCGGGTGGAGGTGGTAGCTAGCAGAGCACTTCTGGAGGGAAAGTATTTAACTGGCTTTTAACTGTGGTGTGGTACTGAAAACATCACATACTACGCTGTCATTAGTGGACAGCTTTTGCTCTTCAAATTAAACAAATAGGTTAAAGCTGCTGAGAATTGCAACCAGATTTTTTAAAGAAGAATTGGGGAAGCAAATGTGGAATTGCAGCTGCAGGCCCAAGAGGCAGATGGATTATTTATTCTTAAAACTCAGTTGCCATCCCCCCCCTTGGACAGGCTGACTGGGGGTGGCGTGCAGTCTGTACTGGGAATGCAGCTGGGGCCTGTGGTGCTGACTGGAGCAGACCACCGGGCTTTGAGGGGCTGAGCCCCCCGCACACGCAGCCGCTGAGTCACAGAATCACAGAATGGTAGGGGTTGGAAGGGACCTCTGTGGGTCATCTAGTCCAA